GAGCTAAAATACAGGTATACATGACATTTTGCATGGCTCAAACTGCTCTAGAGGAAAACATACAGAAGCATTACCAAAACCCTGACTTGTAGCTTCAACATAAGTTCCAAGCAATGAGGTGTTCACCAGGTAGTGAAAGACATGGGTACCTGGTATCAGCTCAACTAGACATATGACAAACATTTAATAGCGTTAAGGAGAACAACTTTTGACTGCTTTATTAATCTTTTTATTCAAAATGCCAGCTGCATGAGTTATATTTTACTAATACCTCTGTTATGCCTCTAAAAATAATACAAATTGTGCACAACCATGTTTCAAAACTGGATGAACGCAATCACATCATTCTGGGAAAATAATTTCTGGATAGTTTAGATGATTTTCACCAGATAAGTAGACATAAAAATTTAATACCTTGCAGCACTTGTTTCTGCACAGAGAAAAAAACAGGATCTGCTGTAGCTAAATATGGGATACATTTGTAATAATACAATCACTATACCATCACTTTAAATGTCAGTATTGATATTCAGCATGATTTCCTATGTATGATGGCTCAAGTCAATTATAATGACAGATAGCATCCTACTGGCTTATCTGATTACCTCTGACCTTTTAACAGCTGCAGAAAGCCAAAACAGCCTGAAAGAAGAACTCATGCATATATGACACAAAGCTGAAATATCATCTCTGAGCCACAGTCAAGAACACATTGAATGTCAGCAGATTTCTGACAAATCCTATAGCAAATAATTTCTTGGATGGTTTGGCACCACAACAGCCTGTCATTTATTATAGCTGAGTACTGACAGGAGACAAACTTGATTAATTTTATATCAATACATGATAAGAAAGTCATTACAACACATTTCATTTTAAAAACTCAGACTCCACTCCCAAAGTAACCATTCATTTTAATTATTTTTTCTTCTATCAGAAGCTTGGTTAGATAACTTAAGGCTGCATGGATTTCATAGGGAAATATTATGTGTGATAGAGTATATAAAAAAAGTAAAGCACATTGTTCGAACAACAGATTACTAACCAGCTAGTCTAAGAAATCTCTTCACTGCTCAGGTATCCTTGTCCAATCCTCAGAGATAACTAGTCATGAAGTAGTCTGATAACTAATCAAAAACTTATCTTTGTGCTGCAAAAAAAACAAAAACATAACCTCCCAACACAATTACCTACAGGAATTAACATACTAGATCTCAAATATTTTCCTGTGTTTTAACTAGAAGTAGTAAAAAAGTAGAACTAGAAAGAAATAAAGTGAGTTTTATTTTGTATTTCCAGTGTAATATAATCTTCATTATCTTACAGCTTGGAAGTACCTGCAGTATGCTGATTTGTGCATTTATAACAGACCTTATCTTTACCCTACAGCATTATATGACAAAATCAGAAAACATATTCATTCCCTAGAGTTAAGGAAAATCTGTAAAGCCCCCACATAATGCATCCCCATACCTCGCTCCCAACTGTTACTCTGAAAAAGCCATCCCACAGGTAGCCGCATCTGCTTTTGACAATAAGCTGGCATTAATTCAAGTAATCTTTGTAACCTTTAATTAAATTCCATGGAATTCTCCTTCAAACTGGTAATGTTGGTTAGAACCTGTTTTAATTCTCTCTCTCAAAAAAAAACAAAACAAAACCAAAACCCCTCTTACCTCATCACCATTAACAGAATGATACAACAGCAGTTCCACAATTAAGTCAAAACTTCAGCTGTACTTCAAGAACCACCACAGCTATCACTATCTTTATCTGGAACACAGTTTCACCCCTTAGAAATCAGTGACACCATAAGTTACCTCTACTGGGAGTAAACCCGGAGAATCAAAAGTACAATAAAACTCAGTGGTTACATTTATAGACAAATAAACTTTAAAGAAGAAAAAAAAAAAAAAAATCAATTAACTCCTAAAATTTTGCAATACAACTACATTTTTAATATCTGTAAAACTGAGAACAATACAGAGAAAAGTAAAATATCTATAGATTTTGGAAAGAGAATGTATATTTTTATCTACAAAGGAACTATTACAAAAGAAATTTAACACAGATGGTTGTAAAGGTCAGACTAAGAGGGCAGAAACCTTTTGGGGCCTGTCAACACTTTTGACAAATTTAATTATTCCCAAAACAGAGAAGTTTTTGATGCTATGGAAAAGTTAAGGAAGAGAATAAGGTTTATGCTGAATTTATAAGTGGGAGACAGAATAGAGGAACAGATAGATGCTGTGCTTCCCATCACCTGTGGCAATAAGCCTCAGTGTGACTGTCAGCACGTTTACTGTCTTTTGTCCAATGAGTACATCTGTTTTAGCAGAGGAAAGTCAAAGCAAGAAGGCGGAGTTGCCTACAGCTTGAGGCAAAAGACTGTTGAAAGGAGGGAGCCTCAAAAGGTAAGAGAAAAAAAAGACCTCTTCTATGGACTCAAGAGGTGTCTGTGTGGCACAAGCCAGAAAGCCACTGAACTGAGTGAACTTGAGCTGAGGGCAAAGGTCTTTTCAAGTACTGGGATAAATCAGAATTCAAAACCTTTTTACTTATATTGTCTTACCTGTTGACTTCTACTTGCCCATAGAAACTAATTATGCTAGCTCATGCTGTAAAGCAAAAGCTGTTATTTCTCGGTCGCTTGCTTCAATTTAAAATCCTTTCTGATCTCTCTGGAAGCTCATTTTAAAAAAGGCTTGCCCAGGTCCTCTTAAAGGTCCCATCACACCCACACATCATGATCTCACCCTCAGTGGCACCAGCTGCACATTTCCTAGGGCTCTGGCAACCCAAGCGTATTATCATTGCCTTACCCCAAGGACTCTGCCCAGGCCTACAGCGTTCCCACAGTAAAAATAATGACACCTGATCCAACGGAATGGAGACCTTTTCTCCAATGAGTTTCAGAAAACTCAATATATTTAAGAGATGAAAGAATGCAATTAGGATAGTAATACATATCAAACAATGTTAATAACCTTTATAAGCAGAGAGAATACCCAGTTTATTCAGCTATCATAAAACAAATATTAAACATACATTGGGAAAAAGAAAAGACATGTTATTTCAGTTCAGAAAAGCAATTAAAAAGTGAACAGAATGGCTTGGCAGCTGCACAATAATCCCCTCCAATATCTCAAACAGCCCACACTGGTGCAAGGCCCTCTACCCAGCATCACCAGAAAAGAATACTGCTGCAATCAGTGGAATGTATCCAATTTACTTCAGGTGTTTCTACTACAGAGGAATCAAACCAGTAATAACATAAGTTTTAAGTGAAAATGTGTGATATTCACATATTCCACCTACAAACAGTAACTGAGAGGAACGTGACAGAACCTGTTATTGTATTCCTTCAATAAGCAACACCAGAAGTTACTGACTCGGGAGACCCAACACAGTCAGTACATGTCTGCAAGAGCACAGCAGTCTCTCCTGTGAAATGCACTACAGAAAAGGACTTCTATTTGTAAAGCATCAGATACATGCCATAACACCTATTACTAAAGAAAAGTCAATTAATGTGCAATCCAAACCTTACTTTAGAGTATTATCTGCATGCAGAACAAAGTCAGTAGCAGTAAGAGCATGCTAGTTCCCTGAAGAAGTGGAGAAAATGAGGATGATTAAATCAATACTATGACAATTAAAGTTTTGCTATCCTACTAGTCAACTCAGTAAACACCTATTGTGCAGGGAGGTAATGTATTGGAAACAGGCTAATTAGGGGAGAACAGACCAGTTAGTGGCTTCCTAGGAAGCCAATACTACTGCATAGTCCAAGAGATGCTTTACAAAAGAAATGCCTGTAAACCTGGCTATCAGATATCCTATACAGCACCATTTTTATGCTTATGCTTACAGTAGTGCTTTCATTTAAAACCGTCAAGTGCTTCCACTTCAGTTTAGAAGCCAAATTTGTATATTAGATAATGTCTATGAAGCATTTGGGAACCAGTTATTTTTTTGAGGACAAATGAAACAAGGAGTTGAGCATATAAGTTTTGAATTGTAATGCTAAAGCCTGCCAACTTAATTTTCACATCAAATACTGAGGTGTTCAAAAAAGGGTAAATCCTAAAAGTACAACTAAGGTGGAAAACAGAAAAAGGGTCCCAAAGTGCCCAAACTGACCTCATTCTCTTTAATAAACTGGTCTTTAGCTGCCAATAAAGTCTTCAAGCTTCCACAGAAGATACCTTCTCTTGTGCTTTTAAATCAGAAACCACAAGATGCTTTGCAAAAAGATTGTTAAGGTTCTTTTCAAACTCAGATGGTGACGCTTTACAGTAACTGGACTTAATTTAATGCTCAATTAAATATTAATTGCTTGGTGACACTACTCATAATCATCAAACTAGTTAATGTTTATTAATAACCATTTCTGATAGAGTATAGCACCACAGATCTCTTGAAAAGACAAAAATAAATTTGACATAGTTCCCAGCTGAACAATCCATGAAGTATATTTCCCTTGCTTTAGGGCTCCGTTGACTTTAAGATATTTTATATTTTAAACCAAATAAAATACATGTAATATACCACAGAGATTAGGATAGAAACATCACACAGAACTTGAAATCACTGAGACAGCATTAGTGGGGCTACAGACAGACTCACCTTAGTTACTGCTATCTCAAGACAAAGACTTAAGTCTTCAGATATACAGGACTTTGGTTCCATTACAGAAAACAGAGACCAGCATTTGGATACTAGACTATTTCTTTTCAAACAGACCCTTTTAATATTTTTAATCAGATGTGTGGTTACCCAGATTCACTGCAACAAAAAAGAGAGCTATTTATTTCATCATACCTTTCTCCATTCTCATTCCTATCTTAAAAAATACTGGAAGTCACTTCAGTGCAAATGCTATAAATCATCAAGCAATTGCTACCTCACAGTAACTTTTAATATTATCAGACACTTGCAACATCCCCATCTTAAATTAGCAAAGCTATTCTCTGACAGCCAGACATTTTAATACTCACCTTGCTAGCAGCACTCTTTCCTCATACGTTGCTCACATAACAAACCTAAATCCAACTCCTAACCCTCTAGAGGTAACTTCTTCCCTTTCTGCCTTCTGGGCATTAGGTTTTCACAGCAGCTGATTGTAATTCATAACTTGATGTTAATGGGGGTGGGAGAGTAATTAAGCCCTTCGTCATTCCCTCTTGACCAGCTGCCTTTAGGTCATGCGTTTAGAACTATGGAGATCAGGCATTACTAGAAAACCAGAATATAGTATATAAACACTTGAAACATGGGTTAAGTATGTGAACATAGTCAACATAGAAAATTTAAACTACTGCCACACAGAGCAAGTTTTTTACTCTAGGCAATATGAGTGGGTTGTTTCATTTTTTTCACTTTTTCATTTTGGTCAGGGGGCCTGAGGTGATGACCTTCTACTATCAGAACCTCACAGAAAGCTAATTGTGGCTTTGAGCAATTCACTTCCTGTAGGAGTGTATGTGTTTGTAACGTGTAGGTACAAGAGGAGGTCATTAATTACTCTCTGGAGAAAAATCATAGAACTCAATAGACCAGCAAGAGGAAATCCAAATCAAACATCAGCTGCTCTAGTCATTCTAAGGCATAGCTTTGTCAGGAGCAGGGTTGATTGGTTTTGTTTTTTTTGTTTCTCCCTTCACCCCCCATTCCTGTTGCACCACCCAGGTGAGAAATAAGTCTAACACTTACCAAGAAGTTTGCTTTCTAACTGCTCTCCTCTGGCTCTACTACATTTAGTAAGAGTTGCTAGAGAGACCACCATGTGCAGTTGTCTTAAGTGACCTATGCATTTGATATCTTGTTCGGATGAGCAAGTGTGTACTGCTAGGATCATCTATAGGAAGTTCACATGGTGCAAATATGGCACAGTCAGTTCCAGGTGCAGATCAACACAACTAGAGCAACGCAGGGTATAGAAGATAGAAGTTAGTCCTGAGTCTGTTTGGTAGTTGAAAGAGGAATGTCCATTCTTCTGCCTACAGCACATACATGCTTTAATGCATAACCAGCTACCATCATTGTACTTTTCATCTTACGGTTTGGTACTCCAGCAGCCTTTAGTATGAGAATGATACATTTTCTGTTGAAATCCTTTTCTAAGTCATGTTTCCTCTGGTCCTTCTAGTAATTAAAATAATCCCACTCTCACATTCTACTGTGAGCAAACTTTCTTCAGTTTTAATTACTGGCTTTAAATCACTTCCAAATGACAAAATTAAATTTTATGTAATAAATCAATCATTTTATGAAATTCATATCTAACCCAGTAAATCATACTCAAACTTTTACCCTTTTCCAGAATTCATTTGGTAAAGTTTACTTATGAAATCAGATTCTCATCTATTTTTGGTATACATACTGTGAACACTTAATTTTACACACTTGAGCAATCTCACTTGTATCAACTATACTTCTTATGCATTATTTATACCACCATGTAGATAAGTCTCAACATGAAATTATCATCTGAATGTTCACTCCCAAATGTAATGTCTTAATTGTTTAGTATGTGCTAATTTTCTTAAAATTGCTTCTTTAATCATTTAAAGTAATTATAAAAACCTTCTTCTTTTTCAATCCTCAGCATACAATTTAAAGAGATCAAAACTTTTTTCCTTGAACATCACATGCTAGTCAGAAGACTGGGCTCATGTTGGGGCAGGAAATACAGAGGCACCATCCTCGCAGAGGTGAACCCAGGTATGAGCTCTACAAGGCAAACAGGACTGGCGGTGCAGAGGAAGAACTGAATAATTCACCAAGAAGGTTACCTGCTGTGCTGTCTAGATGTATCTTAAGTAGTTGTTGCATTACCTTGATTAAAACAAGTGAGTTGCAAAGGGAATGGAAATGCCTGAGTCCTCATTTTCAGCTAACTTGATTGGGAGTTACCTCAATGCCCCTGGAGTGCATCAATACCCCAGATACTTTAATACCTTAGATACTGTCACATGAACTCATCAGCATGTAACATAGTTCACAACTATACTTAATTAGTAAAGCGTTTTTCCCCATTCTCTTAAGACATTATGACTGAATACTTGTCAACCTACAACCCATTTCCAAGAGTGACTAAAGGTTGTAGCAGAACAGCAAGTTATATGATAGTCTTTCGCAGAGCTTATTAACACTATCAGAATTACTGGTGAACAGGAACAGCTCTCCCTTTGGTGTAGGACAAAGGCGTGTAAAATGTTATTACCTTCCTTCTGGTAGCTCTTTCAATAAAAGTCGTTTTAAACAAAGCCAAGAAAATGACATAGATCTTTTCAGTTTTCCCGTGAAGTAATTACAACTGTACATCCTTTACTTTCATGTAATTTCAAATGAAAATTAGTCAGTATTAAATATTGATTGCTTTTCTCTATCATTAAACTTACTGAACTAAGCATTTTATATTGTCAAAAATGACATTTATGGTTTAAAACAATACTATCAGTAAGTCTTATTAACTGGGCTATTCTATATACAATTTATGAATATGTAAATACAGGATTATTTCCAAGCCCAGCATCTTTCTGCAACTTTTTCAAATGAAATAAAAGCTTGCTTTTTTTGAAAATTAACAATTGAGTCTGTAGGTGGCACTGCTTCTCTTCAGGAGAGAAGACAAGCACTTAACGATGAGATGAGTCCAACACATCCTGGTGAAACTGCTGAATTTAAAAGCAAGGGAGACATCTCTTAAGGAACATAATTAAACTAACCATATGTATGATATACACTCCAAATCTGCTAATATACTCTCTCTATATAGTATAGTATATGTCGTGCCATTTCTGTTTAGACTGCATGTAATTAAAAGAATATGAATATCAAGAATCTTTAAGAGATTTATAGAGATTAAGGTTTAACGAATTAATGAATTAAACAACCTTGAGTGACAAAAATTAGTTTAAAAGATACAGGAGAGTGTAGAATTCAGCAAACAGTACTTACTAAATCCCACAAAAGGGTTCATGATTTAGAGTAAACCATATAATTCAGTGTATTTCTATTGTCTTGATGTGCCATTCCAGTACGCATCCATCCTTACCTCAGACAAGGTTTGGAATAGTCATAATAATTGGAAGTTTAATAGCAGCTTTTGACTCTCAGAATGCAGACACTGTAGATGTAACAAAGTATCCAAGGGAACTCTGATAATGTACTTGAGTTTTGGTACTGGCAAGTGCGTACCATAAATGTATGTACAGATCTCTCACCACTGACAACACAAAGCGAAGGCCGCTGCTATGCATTTGAAACAGCAGATCTCTACATTGATTTGTTTTTTAACAGCATGTAAATAGGACACAATCAGGTGTTTTGCTGAGGAACATAAAAGCTGAAACTATTGTTAATTATGGAACCCTACATCATCATAAGAAGATACTAAACAAGACATACTTCTAACAACAGACTTGCTAATTACACTGCGGTGCATTAAAATATGAAGGCCATGAGTGAAATATACACACCTTTGTCACTGCTCTGTGACAGCACTTGCACATTTGAGGCACAGAGGGATCACAAGTTCCCCTATTCCACCTAACAGAAGCTTCAGGCTCCCAAACACTGACACTCCCTGTGTTCTTGGTTTGAAATTTAAAGCAGTCTTAGTCACAACCAGCATTTAGAAATGGCAAAAAATTTTTCTTCAGAAAAATACTGTGTCTAAACGTACTGTACGTTAAATGATTGAGTGCCACGTCCTGCATATAAAAACTGGTATATGCAAAATGCGACAATATGTCCTGAAAACATTTCCTAGATTTCTGTTGTCAGGAAACCTTCAATTCAATGCTAAATGTTAAAAGATTTATTGGCATGTAAACATACTCAGAAGCATATTTTTCTATGAGATAGACTTAACAAATCTGGAGATGATATGGCAGGTCATTAGACATGATAGGTAAAAGGTGTTATCAACTAGTAGAATTATTATTTATTTGCCTCAAAAGCAGTCAAAATCTCATCTGCATTTCGAAACAAATAATAGTTCCACAATATTTTTTACATCTCTATATTATAATAATGCCCCATATATATGCCTATATTGTAAAGGTCCATTTATTATAGGAATTCTGTATTATAAGAATGATATCCTCATTGTGTAGAAAAGCTCAACGCATTTTATAACCCATAATTGAAACCATACAGCGTCAACATGAGTAATAAATTCACTCTATTTTGTAACTTGGAAAACAGATAGGGCAATTTCTCTACCATCAGGCGCTGGACAAGCTAAGTCCTAGGAGATTTCATCTTTATTTCTACTCTCTAGCAACAAGACTATCAGAACATAAATAACCATTTCTGTATATAAATATTTTTAAGTTTTCCTCTCCCTCGTTCTACTGCTCCTCTCTCAAAGTTTGTGTATGTTGTTTACATAAAAGAAAACAGGTTCCTGCATATCAAAATTGAGATTGACTATGGATTTGTGTATCCTAAGCGGTTCAAATTTCAGGTAGAAACTTAAAAATGTGTTTTTGAAGTATCCAAAAAGAATGCATGCTTTTTTTTTGGTGTCACAAGAGCATCACCCAGCAAATGCAAAATTAGAGAAAGAGCAACAGCAGCAGCAAAGGAGGGTTATCCTCAGGGGAAATCAAAAGGGATGGGCTATTCTCTAGCTGCACAGATCCTCTTTAAAAACCCTGAAAAAAGCATTTAAGGACATATCTCAGTCTGCTATTTCAATGTCTATCTCTTGCCTGCTGTTGTTTTTCTAGTCTCCAGTGAAAGGTATCCTGCAGTTTACAATGCTTTGAGGCCTCTTCCTCCTTGGTACCATTCCTGAGTGAGTAATTCTATTTCAATAGCTTCTGTGTGTAAGATGCCATTTTACACATTTCATTTCCCTGGTTTTGTAAGTAGCCACCAAAGAAAAGGAAAGTAACAAAGGTAGGACAAAGGGAACCTTCACTCTCATTGCCCAGTAAGGACACAGAGAGTGGCAGAAGGGAAAGGGAAGGAGACAGAAGCAAGTTCCAGCCACTCCAGCAAGAACCTACTGTGAGATCATTTACATCTTGTTCCAGTTTCATGGTATGTTTT